TACATTTATTATGAAGGGTGGAGACGGTTTTGTGAAGAACTGTTATTAAAACAATTTACATGTTATAACCAACGGGGTCTTAAATTCTAGAAAATGAAGTATGTGTACATAGAGTTGAGATGCTGCCTGGCCTCCGAGCTCTTTGGCAGCCTAAGCACACTTTTCAGTGAAGTCTCATTTCCAGAATCTTCACCATGAGCTGAGCAAATTCTAGACCCCCTCAGTGTCTAGCTCCTGCATCCACTCATATTACCTGAGGGTCACTGAGCCAGTCAAACCCCAAACCCAACCCCTTCTGCATACTTGGAGGACATCGGTCACACCAAACCTTTTCTGAATTTACGCGGCAGATTGGAGACCTCGGGGAGGGGATCCGTCCCCTGGTGGCCAGGTGGCCCGGGCCCCTACCTCTCTCCACTCCAATCTCTCACTGTCCTCTTCTCCTCCCGCTCAGGACAGAGAGTTGGGAAACCACCTTGGGCCTCGGTCCCCACATTAAGCCAAGGGCGGGAGGTGCATGCATGTGCTAAATCACTTCAGTTGGGTCTGACTCTTTGCGACCCCATGGACTGTAGCTGGCCTGGCTCCTCTGTCCATGGGATTCTCCAGGCAAGAATACTGGAGTGGGTTGCCACACCCTCCTTCAGGGGATCCTCCTGACCCAGGGATTGAACCTGTGGCTCTTACGTTTCCTGTTTTGACGAGAGTGTTCTGTACCACTAATGCCACCTGGAAGTGGCAAGCCAAGTGCAGTCAGTATTACCTTCTAAAAATTCTGAGTATTTCCCCTGGAGGGAGTGAACCATAATGAATAAAAGTTTTTCTAGTCCCTTACATACCAATAAAGACAATATACTTGAATATATTCTTCTTATGGCTAATGACTATGATAGGAAAAGCTGGAAAAATAGGTTTATGATTTCATTGTGTATCAAGCAAAACAGAGAACAAACAACTGAAGAATTATCTGTAACTTTATATGTATCCATAGAGTCAGTTGAAACTTGAAGACCTTCTAAGTCCTTGGGAGACAAAAATTAAATAATGTTATTCCTATCAGTTTAGTCGCTCAGTTGTGTCCAACTTTTTGCAACTCCATGGCCTGCAGCATGCCAGGCTTCCCTGTCCATCAGTAACTCCTGGAGATTGTTCAAACTCATGTGCATCAAGTCAGTGATGCCATCCAACCATCTCATCCTCTGTTGTCCCCTTCTCTTCCTGCCTTCAGTCTTTTCCAGCATCAGGGTCTTTTCTAGTGGGTCAGTTCTTCACATCAGGTGGCCCAAAGTATTGGAGTTTCAGCTTCAGCATCAGTCCTTCCAGTGAATATTCAGGACTGATCTCCCTTAGGATGGACTGGTTGGATCTCCTTGCAGTCCAAGGGATTCCCAAGAGTCTTCTCCAACACCACAGTTCAAAAGCATCAATTCTTCCACACTCAGCTTTCTTTATAGTCCAACTCTCACATCCATACATGACTGCTGGAAAAACCTAGATGGACTAGATGGAACCTTTATTGGCAAAGTAATGTCTCTGTTTTTTAATATGCTGTCTAGGTTGGGCATAGCTTGTATTTCAAGGAGTAAGCGTCTTTTAATTTCATGGCTGCAATCACCATCTGCAGTGATTTTGGAGCTCAGAAGTCTGTCACAGTTTCCACTGTTTCCCCATCTATTTGCCATGAAGTGGTGAGACTGGATGCCATGATCTTAGTTTTCTGAATGTTGAGTTTTAAGCCAACTTTTTCACTGTCCTCTTCCACTTTCATCAAGAGGTTCTTTAGTTCCTGTTTGCTTTCTGCCATAAGGGTAGTGTCATCTGTGTATCTGAGGTTATTGATATTTCTCCCGGCAATCTTGATTCTAGCTTGTGCTTCATCCAGTTTGGTATTTCACATGATGTACTCTGCATTTAAGTTAAATAAGCAGGGTGACAACATACAGCCTTGACATACTCTTTTCCCAATTTGGAACCAGTCTGTTGTTCCATATCCAGTTCTAACTGGTTAAGTTGCTTCTTTACCTGCATACAGATTTCTCAGGAGACAGGTAAGGTGTCCTGGTATTCCCACCTCTTTAAGAGTTTTCCACAGTTTGTGGTGATCTACACAGTCAAAGGCTTTGGCGTAGTCATACGTAAATATTTTTCTGTAACTGTCTTGCTTTTTCTATGATCTAACACGATATTGGCAATTTGATCTCTGGTTCCTCTGACTTTTCTAAATCCAGCTTGAATATCTGGAAGTTTACGGTTCACGTACTGTTGAAGCCTGGCTTGGAGAATTTTGAGCATTACTTTGCTAGTGTGTGAGATGAGTGAATTCCATGAACAGAGGAGCCTGGTGGGCTACAGTCCATGGGGTCACAAAAGTCAGACAGATCTGAGTGACTAACACTCCACTTCACTTGAACATTCTTTGGCATTGCCTTTCTTTGGGATTGGAATGAGAACTGACCTTTTCCAGTCCTGTGGCCACTGCTGACTTTTCCAAATTTGCTGGCATATTTAGCGCAGCACTTTCACAGCATCATCTTTTAAGATTTGAAATAGCTCAACTGGAATTCCATCACTTCCACTATCTTTGTTCATAGTTATCACACCATTGTGGTTATCTGGGTCATGAAGATCTTTTTTCTATAGTTCTTCTGTGTATTCTTGCCATCTCTTCTTAATATCTTCTGCTTCTGTTGGGTCCATACCATTTCTGTCCTTTATTGTGCCCATCTTTGCATGAAATGTTCCCTGGGTATCTCTGATTTTCTTGATGAGATCTCTAGTCTTCCCCATTCTGTTGTTTTCCTCTATTTTTTTGCATTATTTTTCCTAAAAGATTTAGTATTTTTGAATGTAAACATTTTGGAAATAGCATTGGCCCTGAAATTTTTGGCTTTAGAGAATTGGATAGTTGGTGAAAAATTATTTGAAGACAAACCATAGGGAGAAAATACTATATGTATGCAGATCATTCTACTGTGCTATGTTTGTATTTGTTCTAAGTACTCCTAGCTTAAGACTGTATATAAAATGTAAATTCTGAATCAGTTTGTTGTGTTTCTTACTTTGAACCTTCAAATTTCACTGTTAAATTTTTGGCACGTGTGACATTCTTGATAAATGTGGTAGCATATAAGTTAAAAGCTTTAATCTACAGTTGATATATTCTGTTTCTTTTATATATTCATTAATAAGTAGAGTTTCCTGAAAAATGAGGTATTTTGATAAGATTTTCTTCCTTTCCAAATAATGATAGCCTATTTTACTCATTCAGTAGCTGGAAGGATGTACTTCCTTTTCATCTTCATTCTTGGTCATATAATGACACTATTCATTAATTCATTTGGGGCATAAAATGTAGTCCCCTCTTCCCTGCTAAGAAAAAGTATAATAGAGCCAGTTAACACAGATCTCATTAAGTGAGAGGCAGGAAAGACAGCAGAGAAAAATCAAAATATATAGAGGCCTAACATTCCTTAGAAATACTCAATACTTATAAATACTCAATATAAATATTGAGCTACATGGTGATGCCATTGTGATGGTACTTCATACTGTACTTCTTACCTCTCAGCTGCAACTCAAATTATGCCAGGAAGTGGTGTGCCATGAAAGAGCCCAGATGACACAGTCATCTCAATAACTTCTTCGTCCTGAACCAGAGACCTCCCAGGTCTGCAAAACGTAACTGAGACAGCTCACTCTGCCTGTTGTGACTACAACGTGGGACTGTCCCCTGTTTCCATGATTGTAATAGGGCATAAGTATTGCCAGTGGGCAGGATATTTGCTTTCCTTACTGTGGAATTACGTGTTCTTCAAAGCACTGTGGCTTTATGAATTTTCATATGGGAAACTAAAACTCAATGACAAAAGACTTAGTCAGAGGGGTGCCCTAAAAACAAGCTGGTGCCTACAGAATAAAATGCTGCCAGGGTAGTATTCTTTAAAACAAACTTCTTTCATCTTTAGCACAAATCAGTGATACTGGCAGAAGGGTGTTAATGTGTCTTCCTATGAAATGAGTAATTCCTGCAGTTTGACAGTTTCCTTATTTAGTATCAGATTTGCTATGGCCCCGTATGTATTAGCTGTAGATGGACATGTTTGAGAATTTAGTGTTTTTCCACACAACAAGGGAAAGCTTCTGCTCAAAGATTTCCAGAACCCTGGGATGCCTCTCTATATAGTACATATGCTTTCTGTTCTGTGTGAGTGGAACTTGAAGAAATAATTAGAGAAACAGTAAAACTTCTTAGACATATGGTTCTGTGCCCCATTCCTTCTCTTTCTCCATCATATAATACAGTACGCTTTTCAGAAATGAAAATTATCAAGCTTAGACCAAGTAAAATCAGCCTCCGTTCAGATCAGTTCAGTTCAGTCGCTCAGTCATGTCCGACTCTTTGTGACCCTATGGACTGCACCATGCCAGGCTTCCCTGTCTGTCATCAACTCCTGGAGCTTGCTCAAACTCATGTCCATCGAGTCAGTGATGCCATCCAACCATCTTATCCTCTGTCATCCCCTTCTCCTGCCTTCAATCTTTCCCAGCATCAGGGTCTTTTCCAATGAGTCAGGTCTTCGCATCAGGTGGCCAGATTATTGGAATTTCTCCGTGGGTGGGTGTGGCAGTAGTAGTTTTTATTTTTGTCATATGTCTCATCTTTTAGGTATATCCTCATACAGATTTATCTCTAGCCATGTTTTAAACATAAGTTTCAATTTTTTTCTTAGTTTTGTCTGAGATCTTAGGCCATTAATTGCTGATATTTTGTTGTTGTTTATTAATCTTACCGAATTAACTATATGTCCTCCTTATTTTAGTTAGCATCAGCAGGTGAAATATTTGAAAGAAAAGCATTTAAAGGAAAGTATTATATCCTGTTCAGGTTCTAATTGTTTAAGAAAATTATCTGAATGCTTTTTAAAAACAGAGCTGTGATGACACTGATTATAAACTCTATTACTCCTTCATAAAATTAACTGCCGTGTTTTGACTTGCAGGATCTCCAAAGGTGGGTAAATGGTGCTAATGAGCATGGTTTTGTCCTGGTGTCTTTTGGAGCTGGCGTCAAGTATCTGTCAGAAGACATTGCTACCAAACTGGCCGGAGCTCTGGGGAGATTGCCCCAAAAAGTGATTTGGAGGTAAAGTAATAATATAGGTTGTTTCTTTACCACTGATTTTCCGTATCCTCTTGCTTAGTCTGCAGGTGTAAATAACCACAACACACTGATACCCTGGCAATATCAGCAGGATGCCCTGACTTTTCATTTTGTTTCATAGTGTGTTGAAATCTAGGGATTAATTTATACAGTGCTCTGTGATGGATAGAGACATCTAGTCTATCACATAAAAAGAAGATATGTGCAGTGATGTGTCCTTGTTGATGTGCGTTTTTATGTTACCCTCCTTTTGTTGTCGTTCAGTTGCTCAGTCATGTCCGACTCTTTGCGACCCCAGGGACCCTTCTGTTATTTATCATCATTTAAAAATGTATAATTGCATGCATTTCTATGTGCGTGTGGGTTAGTCGCTCAGTTGTGTCCGACTCTTTGCACCCCATGGACTGTAGCCCACAAGGCTCCCTTGTCCATGGGATTGTCCAGACAAGAATAGTGGAGTGGGTTGCCATTCTCTTCTTCAAAGGATCTTCCCAACCCAGGGATCAAACCCAGGTCTCCTGCATTGCAGGCAGATTCTTTACTGTCTGAGCCACCAGAGAAGCCATTTCTATATATTCCTTCAAATCAGTGTTGGAATGAGATTAAAAACTGATAAGATGAATGATTAAATAGGTAAAACATTTCATGGACCCTTTTGGGCTCCCACTTTGTTTATAAATGCTTTCGATTCCTTTCATCCAAGAGACCAGGCCTTTAAAAATACCGTGACTTGCCAGTTAGTGCTGGTCAAAACAGACCTCGCTTCTTTGGGAGGCACTGCCAGCACATGTCTGTCTCTGGAATTTCTTTCTTTTAATAAGTTATTTACCTATTTTTATTTTTGGTTTCGCTGGGTCTGCACTGCTGCCCTCCGGCATCCTCTAGTTGCAGCGGGCGCGGGCAGCTCGTCGTTGTGGTGCTCGGGCTTCTCGTTGTGCGGGCTTCTGTTTTTGGGGCGCGCCCATGGGCTCCAGGGCACACGGGCTTCAGTAGTTGTGGCACTCGGGCTCACTGTGGGTCCTGGGCTCGAGAGCATAGGCTCAGCAGTTTGCGGCGAATGGGCTTAGCTGCTCCGGGGCATGTAGAGTCTTCCCGGACCAGGGATCGAACCCACGTCCCCGACATTGGCAAGCGGATTCTTAATCCACTGTACCAGCGGGGCAGTCCGGTCTCTGGAATTTCTAACCCAGTGTCTAGACGTGGCCCTCAGCGCTCACTTAGTGCGTTTTGATTTAGTGCCTGCCCCCACCATGGAGCGTTAGAGATACAGAGGTGAACAAGTTCAGCCCCACATTGTCGAGCCTTTACAAGTGTGCTGTAAGGACTGTGGTTTTCTCCCTTGTACAGACCGTGAGAGAAACAGTTCCCACTTCTTCTGGTGCGGCTCGGATGGGAAAGAATCTGCCTGCAATGTGGGAGACCCGGGTTCAATCCCTGGGTCAGGAAGATCCCCTGGAGAAGGGCATGGCAATCCACTCCACTGTTCTTGCTTGGAGAATCCCATGAACAGAGGCTACAAGTCAATGGGCTTAGAAAGAGCTGATATGACTGAGGGACTAACACTTTTCATTTCCTCCTGGCTAAGCTGTGAAGTGGATGTTGGGTTTCCTGTGTTAGGCTTAACCCAGAAAGCGCCCCTTCTGTTAATTATTTGGGCCAGTTTGTATCTGCCCATTGCAGCCTCGTGCCTTTTGCTCAGTTGATGAGCACATTATGGTTTGTGTTTCAGAGACCAAGGCAGGAAACAACCTGCCTCTTTACCTCACAGCACCATCTCTGGGGCCCAGCCAGAGAGGAGTACTTCCTATTTTCTTCTAGCTCTTGAGCCTCTCCTCGGGTTCTAGGTGTCCGGATGGGAAGTGGTGACTGCCTAGGGGTGACCGTCCCTGCCTTCCTCTTTCACCTTCTGGATGCTGGTAGAAAGTTGACTTTCTAGCAGAGGTCCATGTGGTTGCTATTTCCCGCAGTTCTGTGAGAACTGCTGAAGGAACGTGGATCTCAGTATAATCCAGAATGTTTCGTATTTGTCCCTCAATCAATGAAAATGTGAAAAAGTAACAATGAAAATGTGAAAAAGTAACTAAAATTTTTGTTGTTATTGAAGCATGGCTTCTCTCTTAAGAATATCAACAAAAGATCATGTAACGTTTATTTTAAACCCAGAAGTTTAACCAGACAGCTCATACGAGAGTCAGGTTTGATTTGTTGAAAGATTCATTGTCTGGTGGACATTTCAGGTTTTCTGGAACCAAACCAAAGAATCTGGGAAACAACACCAAGCTCATAGAATGGTTACCACAAAATGACCTGCTTGGTAAGTCAGTGACCCCTGGGTGCTTACTTGGCTTTTTTATTTTAATTGTGTAAATGTGAATTTTACACTTGAGTGGCTTCTATAGTATATGTGTGGTTTATAATAGAATCATTATATTCTCTTGTATGCTAAGTCCTAGATTTCAGACCAACAAGTCAGATCTCCAGTTATTGGCAAATTATTTTAAAGTGTAACCATTTAGGCCTATAAATTAAAATGGTTAGACCAGTCACAAGTTTTGATTTTCTGAAAAATATACTTAACACTACATAAACTAGTAGGAGTAAAGCTACACCTAGATTGATCAGCTAAAAATAGTCAAATTAAAAACAGTGAAAGTTTAGGTTTCTCCTATAGTTTTACTATAGCTATATCTAAGAAACCAGAGAAAGCTGAAGTTACTTATTTGTTTTAAACCACAGTTAAGCAGAAAGCCAAAAAACAATTTATTTCAACTTTATTTGAATCGTCTGACTAAATTTACTCCTAAGACACTGGGCAATTTTGAACACTTTGTTTCTTTTGATTTATTTATTTATTGGGGTTCTGATCCTCAACTCAAAATTAAAATGCCAATTTTATGCATATCTCAAGATTTGAATTTAAACAATTTAATTCTCTTTGATAAATGTAAAATGTAACTTGCTTTATTCATTAAATCTCTAGGAAAACATAATGCCATGTTATCCTTTAAGATATTACTTCCTAAGGAAATTATAAAAATGTTATTCATTTTGGCAACATCAACTCATTTATTTGTTCAGTAGTACTAATCTTAATAGATTACGTGAAAGTAGGTGAAAGTTATATTCTTAAAAACAGGCTTTTAGAGAGTATCTTTTAGAAGCTGAATGGACCCTCGAAAACCCTGCAAATTGAATTTTATAACTATAAAACAGCAAGTATAAATAATTCCTTTTCATCTAGTTTATTATAAATATTATTCTATAAATTATAAAAATGATGGAAAAAAAAGACAATTTACCTTTTTTGATATTTGCATTTTTTTCTGTTTCTTGTCTTTACTGTTATGATGTCAGATGCCATAGGAAGTAGGAAGGAAGCAGGAAATTTAAACATCTCCATATCTTGACCCTCAGCCATCTCGCCGCAGCAGCAGATGCTGCTCTCTGGGGTCATCAGAATTGGCTCCATGCCGTTTTTTCTCTGAGGCTACACAGCAAGGTGCAGCTGCACCCAGAGGGCCTCCCAAGTTCCCATCTCCTCCAGGCTCCTCGGAATCTCAGCTCCCTGCCTTTACTGAGATTAGCATCCTCTTCAACTCCAGCCATGACCTCTGTGGATCCTCTCCTGGTTTCTAACTATGTTCAGAAGATTCCTCCAGGAACAGAAGCAGGAACTAAATCAGTGTCCCCTCCTCTCTCAGCGCATTCCCCTTGCCCTCCACACACCAATTCTCTTTATTTTTTCACAGCTGACCTTGCTGGTGGTCAGGTTTCACTCAAAGAAAAAGAGTTCTACTGCTGAAAAGAAAGTTTGAAATCCACTGCCAGGGCAGATTCCTTAGTTGGACTGAGTTGAGAAGCCCCTTGTGGATCAGGGCCAGAGACACTGAGTGACCAGCCTGCTAGATGTTGGGGGTGGAGAGTCCTGGAGCCCCTTTGAGACCTAGGTTCATACGTGACATGTCTTTATTTTAAAGGCTCATATTTTTGCAAGCTGTAATTTCTCTCTGGCCATCTAACACCCATCTCAAGTGTCGTGTTTTATGTCTTATGTTCCTTATGCAAGCCTCTCTGCTCACAGGGCAATCTGGAGTTTGAAATACCTCACTAACTTTGATAAATTATCTCTTTTATCTTCATGCCAAGCAGATGTTACATGTTGTCCTATCTCTTAGAACTAATTTTTTTATTTATCTGTCCCTGCTTGTTTTTATTCCTAAAATGTAGAGTTGGACCCTAAGATTGAGAAGTGCAGATGCTGCAGACATGACTTGGATGTTGTAAATACTGAGCGCTGTGCAATGTTCCCCCTTGGATAAGCACAGAAATGTTTCTTGGACATCTGGAGTCCAGCCTCACACTTTTACATTTTTTTTTTTACAGGGTGTGTTTGACTTTAACATAGATAAATGTTTGAGTAGCCAGAGTGGGTGTCTGTTTAGTAGAATGTGGTTATACTCTGGTATTTTTGGTTATTCCTTGCTTTCATTGGCCTCTTATTAATTACTGGCTATTTGAATGCAGTTGGTATTTGTGTTTTGAGAGAAGATATTGTAATATACTTCTTAAAGCTATAAATGTTAGCTACTTAAAATGGCTTTTAATTGATATATACAAATCTGATAATTTTGCTTGTAATAAACATTATAATTGGTGCAGAGTAGGAATCAATGAAACTGTGTCTTTAAAAAATCTTATATCTGAAATGCATGTTTATTATAATGTCAACTTCTAAGAAATTTCTGGAAAACATCTTCCTAGGATAATAGACAGTATTCTAAGTGGTTTTCTTTTTTAATCCTTCTTTAGGGCATTCCAATATTAAAGCCTTCCTGAGCCATGGTGGTTTGAATAGTATTTTTGAAACTATGTATCATGGTGTGCCTGTGGTGGGAATCCCACTCTTTGGAGACCATTATGATACTATGACCCGGGTACAGGCCAAAGGCATGGGGATACTGCTAGAATGGAAGACGGTAACTGAAGGAGAGCTGTATGAAGCTCTAGTGAAAGTTATCAATAATCCCAGGTAAGGTTTCAACTAATATTAAAGCAGGTGAACTATATTTACCACAGCATATTGTCAATAGCTGATAACTGCCAGCAAGTCGTCAATAAACTAAATATAGAAATATCCTTTAGATTCCTGTGTGTAATGTCATTTGAAAAATAAAAATAGCAATCATTTGTCCAGCTGTGTATGACCGTGAATAATAATCCACCAAAGTTTGCCAGACTGGGGGAGAAACTACCATGGGAATCTTTGGGTCCCTAGAGTTTGTCAATTTTTGTGTCCTTGATCTCATTTTAATGCTCATAAAACTTTATATCACTATTTTCCTCATTTCCATTATAGAGATGAGGCACTTAAAACTCAGAGAGCTTCAGTAATACACCCCTAGTTATACAGCTTTGGAGTAGGAACTTGAACCAGGACTGTCTGATTTCCAAACAGGTGCTCTTAATACTGCCGGGTGCTTGGTTTCCCTAACTCTGGGCATCAGTGAAATGCCAAGATATATTTACTCAGGTGAATGACTTGGTCAGAATCTTTTATCTTATTTTGTTTCTTAAATTCTTGATGTGTCTTGAGTCAACCCAGTTCACAGCTGAGCCTCAAACGGTAGAGAGTTGGCTGCATAGTTTTAAAACAAAGCATAGGTTTTCCCATTTTTATGTGACATTTAATTGATCCTGCATTTCCAGTCGCATTAATGTCTGGAAGAGTGTGAGCTTTTCCTCTTTATACCCAGGATACATAGCTTAACACTGGATTGAGAAACATTGCTATAGTCTTAAGAAACAAGGCACAATAAAGGAAAACTCTTTCATATAAAATAATGTTTCTTTTATGTAAAAGACTGGATTCAAGTGCCCTGGGGTTCATTATGCTGCTATATGTGGGCTCAGAGGCAGCCTTTATGCACTGACCCCTTAGAGGATCCAGGGTCTTGGTTGTAATTCTTGGCACTTGGAGGAATGTGTTTGATCATCCAAGGTGTCGGAGTAGGGGACCCTGTTGTCTGTGTTCTATAACTTTCCTTTGAAAACTGTGCTCCGATGCTCAGTTGTGTCCAGCTCTTTGCAACCCTGTGGACTTAGCCCACCCTGCTCCTCTGTCCATGGTATTCTTCAGGCAAGAATACTGGAGTGGCTTGCCATTTCCTTCTCCAGGGGATCTTCCCGACCCAGGGATGGAACCCATGTCTCTTGCATCCACCTGCTTTAGCAGGCATATTCCTTACCACTGGCACTATCTGGGAAGCTGATAAACTGATAAGCTGATAAACTGATACTTTAAAAGTAGCAGTTCAGTTCAGTCACTCAGTCATGTCCAACTCTTGGCGACCTCATGGACTGTGGCACACCAGGCTTCCCTGTCCATCACCAGCTCCCGGAGCTTGCTCAAACTCAGTGTCCATTGAGTCGGTGATGCCATCCAACCATCTCATCCTCTGTCGTCCCCTTCTCCTCCTGCGTTCAATCTTTCCCAGAATCAGGGTCTTTTCCAATGGTCAGTTCTTTCCATCAAGTGGCCAAAGTATTGGAGTACATCAAGGCTTTAAAAGTATAGTGTTTTTCAAAATGTAATGTTCTTATGGAAAATGACATGTGTGTCTTGCCTCCACTCCATAGCTACCGTCAGAGGGCTCAGAAGCTTTCAGAAATCCACAAGGATCAGCCTGGTCACCCCGTCAACCGGACTGTCTACTGGATCGACTACATTCTCCGCCACGATGGAGCCCATCACCTGCGTGCTGCCGTCCACCAGATCTCTTTCTGTCAGTATTTTCTCCTGGATATCGTCTTCGTGCTGTTGCTTGGTGCTGCCCTGCTTTACTTCCTCTTGTCATGGGTGACAAAATTTATCTGCAGAAGAGTCAAAAGTCTGTGGTCATGCAGTAAGCACAGCACAGTGAATGGACATTACCATAATGGAATCCTCAATGGCAAGTGTAAAAGAAACGGCCACATTAAACACGAAAAGAAGGTGAAATGAGCCAGCAGCCCGCCTGATAGTAACAAATTGTCCCGTCAGTGAATTTTTATTGCTACAAGTTAGTCTAACAACTACTAAATTAAAAACATCAGTAAACAATTCTAACACTCCCTTATCTGATCTTATTAATGAAATTCTGTGGGATTAAGATGGCTGCAAAAAGCACAAACCTAAAATGCAAAAGTGTATTTTATTTGAATACTGATACAGGTAGTTTTGGCACTGAACCTTTTAGAAGCCTTAATTATTTAAATCAATTAAGTGACTGTGTCAGACTTTAGTTTTAAGTCTTGATATATGTGTGTCCCGGATGAGGAATGGTTTATTTTCTCTTAGAAAGGTTTCTCTGTGTGTATGTCTGTGTGTGTGTATGTTTCCTAACTGACAGACTTTTAGCCAGCTGCTTGTTATATTTGTTGACGGTACAGCACATCTAAGAATGAAATAGAAAGACAGTTAGGATCCAGATGTTCCTCTTCTAGAACTTAATATATGGGGACTCAGAAACAGTACCACTTAAAAGTGAATGCAGAGGAAGAAAACGCAAAAGATAAATGGCACCTGTTTTTGTACTTTTGGGTTTTTAGGTTTGTTTTCTTTCTTTCTTTTTTTTTTTAACGACTGTGAATTCTTCTGGGGGAAAAAAACATACAATTAAGTAAATGTATAAATTTGTTGTCATAGTTTATTTTTATTTCCCCCTACCAATAATTTGCCTCTGGGAGAATTTTACAGTTTTTTTTTTTTCTATTTCATTTTAACGACTAACATTATCTTAACTATATAATTCAGGCAAAGCAACAAAGCTCTAGTTTTTGTTCAAAGTACTGAAGACTACTGCTTATCTGGCATCTTTAAACAGGGCCATTGTTTGATGACTTTTCTATAATGTAATTTTTGAATGTTGAGATGTGATATTTCCAAAGTTTTAACTAGAAAACCACCTTCTTCATCCCCTTTTGGTGTCTGGGCCACACAATCTGTTATATCAGTGCCAACATTTAATTCTTTTCATTGGATCATTTACTTTTCTCCATATTGGTACCTGCTTTGTCTGATCTGGTTACCAAATCAAACTTTGCGTGACTCACAGAAGTGACAGAGAAACTGTCCCACTTGTTTGTGAAAGTGAGCCCCACCTCCTGCCCCCTCCCTCACCTCTCTCCCGTCTGCTCTGGCTCTGCGGTCCGTTGTGGCTGCCGTGGGACAGTCACACTGTTCATTTGAGAATGGGGTGCAAGTCGCAGACATCAGAAAATCAGGACCTCCCCACTGAACCGTACACTCACTGGCATCTAGGACTTCATTCCATGTCATTCTGTTTACTTAGCATTTGCACTGCACATGTTGAGTGTATGCTTTATTTATTTGTAGTTCGAAATCTTATGTCTGACAGCTGAAAGTAGAAAACTACAGCATTTACCTAATGACTTTCACTAACATGGGAAGAGTTGTGAAAATTCTAGAATGCTGTAAATCCTTGTCATACACTATGACATACAACTTCATCACACTCCCACCAGGAGCCACTCTCCTGTACTTAGAAATAATGTCACAAGTAGTTTTCTAATGTACAATGCAGGCAAATACATTGCTCTCTGAATACTTGAAGAAATGGTATTACATATATAAGCCTATTAGTTATACCTTTTCACAATCTTATAATATTGCCATTAAAGGGAAAGAAAAACACAGGCAATGAGTGGTGGGATGGCAACAGGACTTAGAGTGTATGACTGAGTTGATTTTGCTTTTTTGGAATTGGATGAAGTTGACAGTAGGCATTCACTGGATGATTAAGCATAAGTTAATCTCCACTGTGATAAGAACTTAAACAATAAACATGATTTAAAAATAGAGAAATGTTGTTGGAATAAAATTTTTATTCAGATTTTATTTCACAATATTATGTATATCCATTATAAACATGTTTCTGAGACAGGTCTCCCAACTTTTATATGTGTATATGAGTGTGAAAACAGTGTGTTACATGTGAGAATGTTTTTTTTAATTATTATTAAACACAGGGATTTACCTTACAAATACATCAACATGGATCATAAAATTGTCCCATAATTAAGAATGTTAAGTGTAGGTATTTACTGATCATTGTTGTTGTTGTTGTTTTTTTAGTAAGCTTATTGTTAGTTTTGGTAAATAGAGTGATTTTAAATTTTCCACACTTGGGCTAGATTCTCTAATAAAGTAAACTTTTCATGAAGGTATTTATTCATTTATTTTTTTTAAAAACCTCTGCAAGTGTTTCTATAACTGGTCATCATCTTGTCAAATGCAAATGAGAATTAAGACATCAATCATTTTTCCTCTAGAGTCATAAGTTTCAATATCCCTCCACATGGACATAGAAGCAGAGTTTGGATGTCCAGGATTGGAGGGAAGCAATGCTTGGGATAAAGCAGTGGTTTATGATTAAGATTGAAGAAAGCTGGAGATTCTTTCTTGAGGATGTAGACACTTTGTATTACAATCTGGGGACATTCTCAGATTCCTAAGTACAACGTTAGTATTTTCTGGTAAAGTTTCCACTGATGTTTATCAACTTAGATTTGAGAGTATTGCCCTTAAAAGAGTTACCCACATATTTACCACCTCCCTCTCTCCGTATTGTGATATGCAACACCCTTCTGCAGCTGTACTGGAATCCACCACACTGGATCCTCTGAGGACTCCAATTAAAAACAAAATAAAAAGAAAAAAACCTTCATGTGATCTGGTTCCTGTCCCTGCCGTCCTGCGCTGCTAGGAACCAGCAGTGGTGAGGTGCTGCTGAGACAAGATGAACCTCTTGGTTTTTTCCCACCCATATCCTGTTTCTGCCGAAACTATGAGAATATTTTATGCCCAGATGACCTGCTTCAGTGCCCTACTCCCAGCTTTGCCTGTTATTAGATACACATGCCTGAGTGCTCCATCGCTAAGTTATGTCCAACTCTTTGCCACCCCATGGACTGTAGCTCACCCGACTCCTCTGTCCGTGGGGTTTCTGAGGCATACTGGAGGAATACTGGAGTAGGTTGACATTCCCTCCTCCAGGCGATCTTCCTGACCTACAGATTAAACCTGCCTCTCTTGCATCTTGTCTCCTGCATTGACAGGCAGATTTTTTTTACCACCCAGCCACCTGGGAAGCCCAGCAATTAAGTATATTAGACATTATAATTAACCATTGTGGAACATAAAACTTGCAATGAAATTAACATGAAAAATGTTCAGCTGCTTGTTGTGGACCATTGTTATTTGTAAACAGTCAAGTACCTCCTCTGAAATACACAACTATAGTGAATTGAAAGAATATTTATCCACCAGAACTTAGGAGTTGCTGTGAAGGGGTAGGGGTAGAAATTGTTTGATATTCTGTGGTTGTTTCCTTCTTCCAGACAAGAAGCTGGATACGAGGGGAATTTACAGGTGATAAGGACAGTCTCCGTCAAGGGAGATCTTGTGATCTCCGTCAAGCTTGTGATCTATTGGGAGACATGGACATAGGTAACTATAAAGTACTGGCACGTATAGTCAATATATGTGCCGGGTTCTGTGGGGACACTCAGAGGGCAAGAGTATGTGTCAGAAAAGCTTTTGTGTGCACCAGAGAGTTCACTCACTACTATATGATACAGGGTGTCCATGAATTGCCTCATCAGGAACATCCTCATAAATTTATTTAGTTTTTGAATCATGTATTGGACTGAAGCTCTAACTGTCTGAGGGTTCTGACTTTGAAAGCGTACCCCAACATCTACTAATTTTAACTTTTTAATTTCTTATTTGTATGATAATGGTTACCTCACTGGCTTATCTTGAATACATATCTCAGACACACACACACACACACACACACACACACACACACATTCTGTTCTGCGCACTGTACTAAATGTTTAAAACACTGTGTGTTGAAAGCATTTAGCATAATGGCCAGCACAGAATGGGCCCTCAAATTCACAGTGTTAGTCATGGATATACTGAATAGCGATGGAGAAGGACATGGCAACCCACTCCAATAGTCTTGCCTGGAGAATTCCATGGATAGAGGGGCCTGGTGGGGTACAGTCCATGTGGTCACAGAGTTGGACGTGACTGAGCAACTAACAAATACACACACACACACACACACTCTGAATAGACCAACTTCTCTCACTTTATTGTGTCTTCAGGTTTTGAAAGTTATTGTTTAAGAAAATATGTTTTATTCATTCATCCACCAACTATGTATTAAGGCTTCTGTTCACCCGCTGGTATTTCAGATGTGCATTTGGCCATCACGGTTACATCGTGCCCTCTCTCTTCATAGCTCAACTCTGCACCAGATTCCAAAGTGCCACTTAGATGGAATGACTCCACTTTGACAAGGTTTAAACATGAGAAAACCAAATTGAAGTGACAAAACAACTTCAAGTCATCTCATCTGTTTTATTATTGAAAGTGTTATTTTTCATTCTAGTTTCTAATTCAGCTGGTTTCTAAATATAAAATCACATTAGAGAATGCTTATTTGCAATCGATATTATCAAAAACAATTTGAAACAAAGCTTTTAAATCTTATATTACAAAGTTTAAGAATTATATGAATTTTATTAGAGAGCTTCTTTCTTACTTCTGAGAGAGCATAATTTTTAGCCAGCTATTTTTCCCAACAAAAGGTCTCATATTTAGTACTAAGCCAAAACACTAAGGTTTGTGCATGTGTGTTAGCCACTCAGTTGTGTCCGACTCTTTGCAACCCCATGGACTGTGGCCCACCAGGCTCCTCTGTCCGTGGAATTCTCCAGGCAAGAACACTGGAGTGGGCTGCCGTTTTCCTCCTCCAGGGGATCTTCCCGACCCAGGGATCAATCCTGTGTCTCCTGGTCTTCTGCGCTGCATGCAGATTCTTTACCAACTGAGCCACCAAGAGAGCCCCCAATTATAGGGTAAATCTACTCTAAAAAGTCTAGCACCAACATTAAATATTTCAGGTATTACAAAGCATTTTCATGTAT